GGAACGTCTGGTGCAAAGCTGGAAGGTGTGAAGGTGCATAGCATATTCAGGAAGTGGCAGGCTGTCCAGCGTGGCTGGAAAACAGCATTCCTGTGTGGGGCTGAGAGGGAGGGAGAACTCAGCACTCAGTGATGAGACTGGCAGTGGGGAGTGTGGCTAGATTGTGGGAAACCTCCTAGGCCTCCCTCTACAACTTGGACTCTATTCTGTCAGTGATGGGGAACCCGGGGAAGTGTTTACACAGGACAGTGACACAATCAAATCTCGGTTTTTAAAAGATAAAATATATTCCCTATCTGTAGGAACTAAAGAGAAAACAGAACTAAAACCCATCCTCCCTGAAACGAATTTGAAAGTGAAATGATAATAAAACAATTGCTATGAATCCTGTAGGAAAAATGAGAGGTACAGTATAAACCTCTTTTTTTTTTTCTCACTCTTTTTTCCCTCTTTTCCTCCTGGAAGAAGGTTATACTCAAGTTCTTTGTAGAGTTAAATGTATACAGTTTCTAATTAGCGATTCTGATCATTATTCTGAACCAGATAATGGTCCAGTTTCTCAAAGGATAATGCTCCTTTGGATTTATATGATCTCATCTATAACAATAAGCATTACTTATAACATCACTCGTTATGCATGTCAATAATGACAAACTGTTATTCCAATAACCAATAATGAAAGATGTAGACAATATAAATCAGAAATAAAAAGCTTTTCTCCTGATACAAAAAGCACAAGCAACAAAAGAAAAAATAGATAAATTGGACTTCACTGAAATGACCCCAGAGACAACAGTGTAAATAATTCTGAGACTTTGAGACTGAACAGTAGCCCCTGCAACCCTACCCTTGAGGGCTACTTTTAGACCCTTGATATCCTGAGTGTGAGCTGCAGACTGGCAGATTGGCAGTACCTGCATGACCTGGAATTTGTTAGAAAGGCAAATTCTCAACACTCCTATCACCTACCTTCCTACTGAATAGCAATATGCATATTAGTGAAATCCCCAGGTGATTTTAGGGACATTAAGGTATGTGAGAAGCCCTGGTCTAGACTAGTGGTTCTTAAGCTTTCCTTTTTTTTTTTTTTTTTTTTTTTTTTTTTGAGACAGAGTCAGAATCTAGCTTTGTCTCCCAGGCTGAAGTGCAGTGGCGCAATCTTGGCTCACTGCAACCTCTGCCTTTCAGGTTCAAGCAATTCTTCTGCCTCAGCCTCCCAACTAGCTGGTATTACAGGCACCTGCCACCACACATGGCTAATTTTTGTATTTTTAGTAGAGATGGGGTTTCACTATGTTGGTCAGGCTAGTCTCGAACTCCTGACTTCAAGTGATCCACCCACCTCAGTCTCCCAAAGTGCTGGGATTATAGGCATGAGCCACTGCCCCTGGTGGTTCTTCAACTTTTGAGTACATCAGAATCATCTAGAGGATGCTGGGCTACAGGACCTGATCCAGGGACCAGTCTGAGAACCGCAGCTCTAATGTCTAGAGCTGGATGATTACACAGAGGTTGAGTCCTTTCCCATTACCGAGTCACAATGATGGAGAATTCCTATGTCTTCCAACTCAGCCCAAGATGAGAAATCCAGGAAAGCTAACATTCCACAGTGATTGGGATTATGACCTCTTTCCTTGGATTGTTTTAATATTGCCTCCTACTTAAACAGAGCCATGGACGAGAGGTTCTAAGGCCTCTGTACCAAAGCCAGAATAAACTTATGACAAAGGCTCTGTCTCAGAATATGTTTTACCCACCTTTAAGACAAATGGAGCCTGAAGTGCAGCAGCTGAGAGCTATGGTACTGGGAGGCCCCCATCTGAAAACGGGCTGGAACAGGTTGGTTACCCTGCACTGCCCCTTTTGCGGGGTGTTCTTTATCAAGGTCCTTAAAGTCCAAGGCTTTTGTACTTGAGTCCTCCTGTGAGTGTTCCGAGTTCTTAAATCCATTTGTGCCCTGCACAGCACAACAGCCATACACTATGGTACAGACCCGAAATGCAGAACACCCTGAGCACCAGGCATCGCTCCCAGACTGCTAACTCACAAGCCTTATACTGTTGGATCCTACTGCCTTTGTGCTGTAAAGATACACCCACATGCAAAGAAAAGACATCCCATGGAAGCAAAATTACTCTCAAATCAAAAAATTTGCTAAAGGAGGACACAACAGCCGTTCTAAGAAGTAGCAATGAGGCTGGGCATGGTGGCTCACACCTGTAATCCCAGCGCTTTGGGAGACCGAGGTGAGTGGATCACCTGAGATCGAGAGTTCGAGACCAGCCTGGCCAACATGATGAAACCCTGTCTGTACTAAAAATACAAAAATTAGCCAGGCGTGGTGGCAGGCACATGTAATCCCAGCTACTTGGGAGGCTGAGGCAGGAGAATCCATTGAACATGGGAGGCTGAAGTTGCAGTGGGCAGAGATCACACCATTGCACTCCAGCCTGGGAGAGTGTGTCTGGAAAAAACAAAAGAAAAGAAAAGAAAGAAAAAGGAAGTAAAGATGAGTTTTGACCTGTATGAGGTTGGTCATCTACCCCAACTGCCCACTGAACAGGAAGAGACAAGCTCTGTTTTCACCAAGAAAATCAAATTATATGTTTGTATTATAGATAAGTTCCAAGTAGAAATAATACTGGTCATTGTGGAATGCTTCTTATATGCCAGGGTCTGTGCTAAGTATTTGTAAGTATTATCTCAGTCCTAGCTAAAAGATTAATATCAGTATTATCCTCATTTTACACACACGGAAACTAAGAAACAGAATCCTTGTATGTTTTGCCCAAGATTGTTTAGTATCCAAATCTGCACCCTCAACCATAGACTGTATGGTGTCAGGTTACCAAACAGTTAGGTGTGGTGGGAAAGAGCCAACCATCATTGTTCCCACAAGGGATTTTGAGAGAGAGAGAGAGAGGGACTTTAGGTATCACTAGAACTATTTCTATTTATCTGTTTGCATGAGCATGGGAAACAAAATCTCACCAAGAACACTATTTTATAAAACAGATCAAATCATAGCTCTCTGGTTGAAGACAGGCAGAGGCTCTGGACCCCTGAGCATTCCCACAGCACCCTCTATCACACCCTTCTCCCACGCTGTGCTCACTCCTAGGAAGTGGTTCCACCTCTGTGGTCTCTGGCCTCAATATTTCCAATTCCAAGTCCATTCCCTGAGGGGTAAACCATGGATGTGTGTTGGAGAGGAATGCTCTGGGAATGCACAGCCTTTGAGAGGCAGCAGAATACTTTAAGTTCACAATACTTAAAGTATTCTGCTGCCTCTCAAAGGCTATGCATTCCATTACTTGAAGGCCACAAGGGAAAGGAGTGCTTAGAGTATGTCATAATAGATAATTCAGGTAGAATGTTGAGTCTGAATGCCTTATGTCTGCCTACGTAAAGATACAGTCCAGCTTAGAATTGTGTGTAGACATGAGTATATGTAATAAGCATTAATGAATTCGCACTGGTCTCATCTACAGCATTAATGGATTGAGTATGTGTGGGAAATATAAGCATAGTAATAACCGAAGCGTTAATTCATAGAGGTCCCACATCACTGTGGGAGCCTCCAGGAGCCACTGGAGACTTCAGAACCTTCAGCTGGTTGTTGGGCAGGTTGGGTTGTTCCATCCCAAATGACCATTCATGGCAGTCTCACAGTGGGGGACCTCAAGTGCATCTGTCCAGGGGCCAAAGTGGCAAGTGATTTGCTGCTGTCTCTGTACCATCCAGAAGGCCTGTATCTGTCCCTCTGGGACCCTGAGCTGGCTGTTCTCTCAGTCAGCCGCCAGGAGAGAACAGCATAGCCCAGACCTTCTACCAGGGAACTGAGCCTCTGGAGAGGCAGGAACTCGAGGTCCTGTCAGTCTCTTTTATGTTGTCCATTAAATCAATGACTGGTTTTGATCCATGCGAGTGGGGAGGGGAGTTCTCACCTTTAAAAAAACATATACACACACACACACACATTTTATCACTTTGGCCTTTAAATCACCTTCAACATTCTGGCAGATTTTCTCCCAGTCTTTTTTCCTTCGAATTTTTTTTAAATATAACTGAATTTACAATGTATATTCAATTTATGTCTTCTAAAAAAACTTTTAAAAAATCTAATTGTATTGTAAGCATTTTCTAGTGTATCAATTATTTTTTATAAGTAACAAGTAATCATGAGACTTCAGTAAATTTGCCTCTGCCTTGATGGCTTCATGTTTAGAATAAAGCAGTGGCTCTCTAATTATTGCATGCATCAGAGTCACCTAGAGGGTTTGTTAAAAAGCATAAATTGCTGGGCCCCACCCCAAAATTTCTGAGTTAATAGGTCTGGCTGAAGATTTGAATTTCTAACTTCCCAGGAGATGCTGGTGCTGCTGGTCAGAAGACCATACTTGGAGAACCAATGAAATGAAGAGACCAAGTTGTGGAATGTCCAAGCTCACCAAATATTTTTTAAATTATTTAAAAAAACAATTCTTGGCAGGGTGTGGTCGTTCATCCCTGTAATCCCAGCACTTGGGAGGCCAAGGCGGGTGGATCACCTAAGGTCAGGAGTTGGAGATGAGCCTGGCCAACATGGCAAAACCCAGTCTCTACTAAAAATACAAAAATTTGCTGGGTGTGGTGGCAGGTGCCTATAATCCCAACTACTTGGGAGGATGAGGTGGAAGAATTCCTTGAACCCAGGAAGCGGAGTTTGCAGTGAGCCGGGATCGCACCACTGCATTCCAGCCTGGGCAACAGAGTAAGAGTCTGTCTCAAAAAAACAAAAATAAAACAACAAAAAAAGTTCTTTAGCAAAGCCCTATGATTTTTTTTTAGTACGAAAGGAATATCATACCTACCACTTACAAGTAATCATTTCCACTTGCAAGTCATATGAGTTCCATACTTATATCTCTTTGAAGTTTCCTGGATTTTTAAAAGGATATCTTTAAAGGACAGGTAGACTTACATCTAATACTTAATTTTTTTTCTTTTCCTCTACATAGTTCCATATGTTTTGAAGAGCTGTGCAGAATTTATAGAGACTCACGGCATCGTGGATGGAATCTATCGGCTTTCAGGAGTCACCTCAAACATACAACGGCTAAGGTAATCTAAAAGAATAGCCCCAAAAGAATTCTCCCATGATTCTTCCTGTGTCCATGCCTCTGTCCACCAGCGTCCAGAGTATTAAAAACCCAAAGGAACTGAGGGAAGTGTGGCAGCACCGAAGATCAGATGCAGTGGTTTTCAGATGCCTGACTGTTCTTAATCTAATCAGGAAACTCTCCAGCCTGATGTAATTCTTTCTAACAAAAGCTCCTAGGGCTTTCAATCTGTTTCTTTGCCTTGCACCAGATATATTCTTCTTAGGCGAATTTGATTTAACTCAAATGATTTCAATTACAAGTTAAGGAAAGCATGATTTATTATCATTCCCTTGCCTGCCCAAATCTTGGTTAGATTCGGTTCCTGTTGCTTAGTCTTTAGAACCCTGAGATCCATGTCAGTTTTTCTGCTGGCACACCCTCAAGATTTGAGGTTTTGTCTGGTTGAGAAATCAGAAGCCTGTATGACTGTGCCTGTCTCTAATTGATGCTGGGATTTAAAAAATTACTGATGGGTGAACTATTTCCAATTCTATGGATTTATCCTAACGTTTGGAAAAAATTTCTATCACATTCAATAAAGAAAGCAAAACTTTTTCTACAAAACACAGTTATGTATGTGTTTTATATACATACAGAAAGTATAGAAAAGACAGAGTATATATATATATAAATAATTTTATATGATTTAAACAATAGATTTACATATTTTACATATTGTTCCTTAACAGCAAAAGGAACATAATTTAATGTTATTTTAATTATAACATTATTACCTATATTTATTATATGTTCTTTAGTTATAAATGTAGACTTTCAAAACAATAAAAACATTATTATTACAAGGCTAATATGTAAAATTTAATAAGTTGTGCAGGTAATTCAGTTTGCATATTTTTTCTCCTGCTTGGTTTTGCCCTTTTCCCCCAGATTTGGATTATAATTAAATTATACCAAAGAACTAGAACATCTTTCTTTTTTCCTACTAAAGTGATAGCTGTTGAAAAAAATTGGTTTTTTGCAGCCATAGGTTTTTATGAATTTATGTGTTTACATAATTTCACTAATTTACTAGTGCTCCATTTATTAGAGTTTCAATGGCAAATACTTCTTGATGGTTTGAAATACACTACACAGTAGGTAGCATCCTGGAAGGACACTTGGGTGGTAACTAATTATTTTTTATTTCAGCCCTGACCTTATCCTTGACAAGAGAAATCTTTGGCTAAATAAATGAGTAAGCTCTAGATTGCTCTTGTTCTACTCTCTTTAAAACATTCTGCTTTTGAAAGAGAACTATGCCAAGAGAACATAGCATGGCATAGTTTTCTTATAAAACAGCATGGGCCGGGCACAGTGGCTCACGCCTGTAATCCCAGCCCTTTGGGACGCCAAGGCTGGTGGATCACCTGCAGTCAGGAGTTCAAGACTAGCCTGGCCAACATGGTGAAACCCCGTCTCTACTAAAAACACAAAAAGTAGCTGGGCGTGGTGGTGAGCACCTGTAATCCCAGCTACTCAGGAGGCTGAGGCAGAAGAATCGCTTGAACCTAGGAGGCAGAGGTTGCAGTGAGCTGAGATTATGCTACTGCACTCTAACCTGGGCAAAAAGAACAAAACTCCATTTAAAAAAATAAATAAATAGGCCGGGCGCGGTGGCTCAAGCCTGTAATCCCAGCACTTTGGGAGGCCGAGGCGGGTGGATCACGAGGTCAAGAGATCGAGACCATCCTGGTCAACATGGTGAAACCCTGTCTCTACTAAAACTACAAAAAATTAGCTGGACATGGTCCTGCGTGCCTGTAGTCCCAGCTACTCAGGAGGCTGAGGCAGGAGAATTGCTTGAACCCGGGAGGCGGAGGTTGCGGTGAGCCGAGATCGCGCCATTGCACTCCAGCCTGGGTAACAAGAGCGAAACTCCGTCTCCAAAAAAATAAATAAATAAATAAATAAATAAAAACATAGCATAGTTCTCTTTCAAAGCCCCACTCAGTTTCTTTTAGGTTCTGAAAGCATCAGGGATTTCCCTACCCTTCATTAAAGGGGTCAGCTTAGAAAACAGGAGAATGGGCAGTGAGCTGTTTCAAAAATGCTAATTCTGAGAGTCCTGTTGACTTTATCACCGTTGGTTGACTAAGTGAATACTCTCAAAAAGCTTCACTTCTCTTCTATAGTAAAGCTCGTATTGTCATTTTAAAACAGATTTTAACTTGTTGTAAGTATTAATATATATATTATTTGAGGTAGTATATTCATGTAACCTTTTTTAGGAAATGTTTTCTAAATGTTTTTCAGGCCTGAAAGTGGATGATGTTCTAAGACATCCCACTATAGATCGTTTAAGAAGATAGTTATAAATTCATCTGTCCTGTAGGAGTCGCCATCAGGCAGCCTAGAAGGTTCTGTTGAGCACCAAAAAGACAGTCGATTAAAATTCTCAAACTTTGGGTTTGAATCTCCAGATAAAACAAGTTTGTTGACATGGATATACAGAGATGAGTGACAACAACCTGACCTACCCTAGTTTCAGTCTGTCCTGTAAGAAAGGGAAATTCATTTTGAACAATGTTTTGGAAAAACAAATCTCAATAAGACTTTTTGATAAGTTGTTTTGATATTTCCCCAATGTTGATAACCAAGACTGCAGACATTGTGCCATGGGAAATCCATTTATAAATGAGCATTATGTCTTTCTAATCATAGCATATTTTGCAAGGAAGACCCAAACCTGAAATGGAAGTCTTCCTGTGACTTCCTCATGCCTGGAGTAGAAGATCTTTTTGAATTAAGGTCAAAAATATAGTCAGAATCAGCAGTTTGGGGTCTTTTTACCCCTAAGCAGCCAAGCAGCTGCTGACATGGAACACACACTCCCTGGGATTGTTATGTCTCCGTCTGTGTTGTTTCAGGCAAGAGTTTGGCTCAGATCAATGTCCAGATCTGACAAGGGAAGTGTACCTCCAGGACATCCACTGTGTGGGCTCGCTCTGCAAGCTCTACTTTAGGGAGCTGCCCAACCCCCTCCTGACTTATGAGCTCTATGAGAAATTCACGGTGAGTGTTTGGATTTCCATTATGGTTACTGGGTGGGATGCATGGATGGGCCAAGAAGAGTTTCAGCACTAAAATAACAATAATAACACTCACCAGATGGTTGACATTATCTTAGCATGGTGGAGGAAGTAGGATAATATGGTAAGGAAAATAGGGTAGTGGAACTGTTTGCTAAATTTTTCTTTCTTGAATTTTCAGAATCATTTTGTTTGTTTTAAGAGCTGGGCTGAATTATCTCCATGTTTATTCAACTGAATGTACCTTATTGTATAAGGAGGAAACTGAGAACCCCAGAAGTAAAGTGGCTGGCCCAAGGTCACACAGCAGAGGCAGGACAGGAACCTGAAACTCCTCATGCTACACCCACTGCTAGCTTTTTTATCAGACCATTCCCTCTGTGTTTCTTTTGTGGGCTGAGGAAAGAGGTGGGTGAGTAGAGAGAGAAGAGGGAACAAACAAATGTCAACAGTGGTCAGAAAGCTGGAAAGAGAAAAGAATATGAGGAAAACAGCCAAGAGGGAGAGCAGGATAGGTCAGTGAGTTGGGTTGGTGGAGAGGATGGACGGGCATTAGTGAAACACCTAAGCAGCAGCTGTATAGTCACCAAATAGGTCACCCATAGGAAAGCAGAAAGAATAATAAATGCTTAAAGAATGTCTGTAGAGATAGCATGAAAACAGGGCTTGAACATTTGGTTGCATGGGAGAAGGTATAGAGCAGGCAGAGGGCTGGGTTTAACCAGGGTTGGGGTTCAACTGGCAAAGAGGAATGAGAGAGATGATAGTGTATGCTGGAGGCATTGAAATAATTGAACATGGAATTTAGCGTAGATAGGAAAGGAAGTAAGGGCACAAGGTAGATAAGTAGCAATGTAAAAGTAGACCATCCCAGTGAAGTCAATGAAGTGTTAAAGTATGGTAGTCAGAGAGGGATGGTTGAAAGTGAAATTAGGCAAGGTTACAATTTTGGGTAAAGACCAGATCTAGTCACTAATAGTGGGAGGGAACATTTCTCATGGCTCCTGTAATAAATTTATTTTGAGTATATGAAAGATTCTTCAATTTGAAATGATACAGGAATAAATGAATGCTATTTCTTAACAATGGGGTTGAACTATAAAATTTTGTTTAGGAGTTTCCAGTGGTACAGGGAAATACTCAAATGATAATTGAAGAAAAACTAAATGCATAACTGTGTATTAAGAAAGGATTTAAAGGAAGAATGTTCAAAAGACTAACAGTTATTCTTTTCAGTGATGGGATTACAGATAGTTTTTCCTGCTTCTTTAACTTTCATAATTTTACCCACTAAAAATATATTAGTTTTTAGCAAAAACAACAACAACAAAAACAAAACAAAACAAAATCTTCTGGTTATATATACTTAAAGAATTTAAAAAAGGAAAAAACAAAATTAAAAGTGGGGAGAGGGAAATGAAGACAAAAAAAGAAACACAAACAAAAACTAGTCCAAAGCACATAAAAAAAAACTTGTGCATAAATGTTGACCACTAGAGAAGTCAACATGTACCAGCTGGCATAGAGTTGTCATTGGTTTGGGGACCCCTCTCGGTCAGATCTAAGGCAGAAGGTAAGGTAGCCTCCAGTCTACATGGCTAAGTTGTAAATAATGTCCACTGCTACCCATGGGACCACAGAAGAGTCTTTCCTAGGAACCAAGAGGAAAGGTGTGAGCTTCACGTGGGTCTGTCAGATTATAATCACTTTCACCATATGTAAGCATTTTATCACTTTAAGAGTAAGCCTATTTAATAAAAGGCATTATGAAAAATGAAGGAAAGTAGAAAGGAACCATTGGCCTGTCTCCTTAAAGACCAAAGACAACTACAATTAACATATTGTAAGTATTTCCTTCCATCTTTATTCTTTTCATAGTGTTTTTGTTGTGGTTTGTGTTTTGTTTTCCAAAATCAAAATAAAATTTTATTGCAAAAATTAAAGCAATACGGAAAACTATAAAGGAGAAAGTATAAATCACAAATCACTTGAGATTCCACACCCCAGGCATATTTGCTATTAACAGATCTAACAAATATTAACTATATCTGTAGTAACAGATGTTAACAGATCTTACCACACACACACACACACTCACTCCTCAGTACTACATATTGGTGTTTGGGATGCTTTTAATTCAACAGTGTGACCCTCTTTGTGTGTTAAGAAATATACGAAGGCACTATATTTACAGCACATTCTCTCATATGTGCCTTGATTTCTGAAACCAAGCTCCTACTGATGGACATTTAGGTTTTTTGTTCCTCAACATGTTGCTTTTATAAACGTTATAATACACATTTTTCACATATATTTTTATACTATTTTTGTTTGTTTATATCCTTAGGGAAAAATCATTGAACTAAATTTGCTGAGTAAAAAGTTATTATTTAAAATTTTGTCGCATATTGCCAGTCTGCCTCCAGAAAGACAAGGAATGCTCTTTTCCCTGCAGACTTTCCAACCCTGGGTATTTCCAGTTGGTTAAATTATTTGTCAGTCTGAATCAACTAAAAATAATACTTTGTTCTTGCTTTAATTTGTAAGACTTTTTTGTTTTCAATATAGTCATAATCCTCTTGTCAGTACAATATTATCATCTTTGAATAGGACAGTATGAAATGTCATTTTTGATTAACTGAATGAGTCTAATTTCTTTTAACTAGTATCTCACTCTATTATAGTTGGGGATAGATAGGAATTCTTCATCTAGGAACTTTAGAAATACAGTTTCTCCTTAGCTCTTATCTACAGGCTCAGAATGAAACCTGTATTTGTCCCTCCCCTCCTGTTCTCTGATATTGCTAATCATTCTGTTTTCTCACAGCAACTGAAAAATACCAAGGCAACTTGTCAACCTGCCATCAGATTTGAAGGAAATCTGACATTGTATTGAAACAGTTTATTGACACTAAAAAACAGGGTCGTTTTGTTATAACAACTAATTCTATATATATAGAACCTAGTGAAGTTAACTATGGTGGAGAATGTATCATTTAATAGATTTTTGGATCACAGATAATATAAGCAAATCTTCGTATGAAAATAGCTGTTTTACATTGTCACACATTCTCCCTGTAGTTTACTTAAACCTACTTATATAGCTAAAGTAGAATAATATGTTTGTTTGTTTTTATTTTCAGTCGGAGCCTCACTCTGTCACCAGGCTGGAGTGCAGTGGCATGATCTTAGCTCACTGTAACCTCTACCTCCTGAGTTCAAGTGATTCTCCTGCCTCAGCTTCCTGAGTAGCTGGGATCACAGGCGCACGCCACCACACCCAGCTAATTTTTGTATTTCTAGTAGAGGTGGGGTTTCACCATGTTGGTCAGGATGGTCTTGATCTCTTGACCTCATGATCTGCCCGCCTTAGCCCCACAAAGTGCTGGGATTACAGGCGTGAGCCACTGCGCCCAGCCTGAAATAATGCTTTTTTTTAATTTTTATTTTAGGTTTGGGGTACATGTTCAGGTTTGTTATATAGGTAAACTTGTGTCACAGGGGTTTGTATAATTATTTTGTCACCCAGGTACTAAGCCTAGTCCCAATCAAGTAGTCCCCAATGTCTGTCGTTCTTTTCTTTGCGTCCATGTGTTCTCATCATTTAGCTCCCACTTATAAGTGAGAACATGCAGTATTTGGTTTTCTGTTCCTGCATTAGTTTGCTGAGGATATTGGCCCTCAGCTTCATCCATGTTCCTGCAAAGGACATGATCTCATTCTTTTTTATGGCTGCATAGTATCGCATGGTGTGTATGTACCATATTTTCTTTATCCAATCTGCTGTTGATGGGCATTTAGGTTGATTCCATGTCTTTGCTATTGTGAATAATGCTTCAATGAACCTAAGTGTGTGTGTATCTTATGGTAGAAAGATTTATGTTCCTTTGGATATATACCCAGTAGAGGGATTGCTGGGGTAAATAATAGTTCTGTTTTTAGCTCTTTGGGGAATTGCCTCACTGCTTTCCACAACAGTTGCATTGATTTACACTGCCGACAGTGTGTAAGTGTTCTCATTTCTCCAAACCTCACCAGTATCTGTTATTTTTGACTTTTTAATAATGGTCATAGAAGAATATCTTAATGGAGTGATGAATTAGAAAAATATTAATGGGCTAATAATACTAATAATGATAATAGATGTCATTAATTGAGTACTTACTATACGATAAACTCATTGTAAATATTATTTCATTTGATTCTGAAAATAACCCTTTGAGGTAGGTTTTATTGTTTCTTATATAGAGCATTAAAATGAGGCTCAGAGTGACTCTTGCCTGGGGTGGTACAGCTAGTAGGTGGAGGTAAAGATTTAGTTCTGTCTCATAACTCCCAAACTACTTAAAAATAGAGTTAATGACACTTAATTAAGGCTTTGGTATTAAATAACTTAATGTGAAATAAAGTAATGGAGGAAAAATGTCATAAACAGTGCCAGGAAAATTGGCTAACTATTGGGAAAGGAGGAAATCAAGTTGTGTCTTTACCATTTAGCAGATTTCAGGGTGGAGAAGGGTTTCCTAACCATAAAAGCAAAGAAAAAAGTCACAAAAAAACAGACTTTAAAACTGAACTACATATAAACTATTTTTCTTTATTAAAATATATTAACAAAATTAAAAGGCAAATGACTAAATATAATAACTATTTACAATAAAGATGACAGGGGATTAATGTTCTTTAATTATATGGAACACCTACCTATCGATAAAAAGAAGTAAAACACATAATACCTCATTAAACAAATAAGCGAAGGATCTCAATAGATAATTCATAAAAAAAGAATTGAATTCTTTAAAAAGTATCAATGTATTAGAATAATATAGTTGCACATTAAATAATTTTTAATGTTACCATTTCATACTAGCAAGCCTATGGTGAAACTGGCTTTTTTATAGTTTTCTGTTGGAAGTGCAAATTGGTTGGACATCCCCAAAAATCACATGAAATTACTATCAAGGGTACTAAAATGCTCATATT